GACAGGGTGACAACGCTCTTCATTTTGCAGTGAAATCACAAAGCGGCGTTGTCACCCTCTGGACAGAGTAGTTTAAGATCTTCTATGATCGTTTTCTATGATGCTTTGCGCCATCTAGTGGCCAATGGCCATATTTTCACTTCCTGTGACAGGGTGACAACGCTCTTCATTTTGCAGTGAAATCACAAAGCGGCGTTGTCACCCTCTGGACAGAGTAGTTTTAGATCTTCTATGATCGTTTTCTATGATGCTTTGCGCCATCTAGTGGCCAATGGCCATATTTTCACTTCCTGTGACAGGGTGACAACGCTCTTCATTTTGCAGTGAAATCACAAAGCGGCGTTGTCACCCTCTGGACAGAGTAGTTTTAAATCTTCTATGATCGTTTTCTATGATGCTTTTCGCCATCTAGTGGCCAATGGCCATATTTTTTTTTTTCAAACCAATGAAAAACATTTGACCAGCACAGGAAAGGCCTGATAGCTTTTGTTTTGTTGCTCCATTCGCACAGGAGGAATGTACATGCCCTTTCGCCCGGTGAATTGTGATGCAAAATCTTTGCCCGCCCAGATGTATCATCCAGAGATCTGTGAATGGAGAGAGGGACTCGTATTGCTCAATGGCGCACAAGCGCAGTGACATCATCGCGCTGCTACTCCTTCAGTTTGGACCTTCGTCTGCAGGAGGCTGCGCAGTGCACCGACCATCCACTGATCGTGGCGGCAATGCTTTAAAATAGATATGCCTTTAAAAGTTCCATCCAACGCGTTTCGTGTGTGTTTACCCTGGCTGCAGCCCTTGCCACCCCTCTGAAAAGCGATCTGCAGTGGATCCTTTTTCAGAGAGTGGCTGACAGATGGCTGGGAGGTGATATGTCACCTTCTCATCGCCTACTTAACCCTGAAAAGCCCGCACCACCTTGCTGCCACCATGTGCGTTGCGGGGAGGTTTGCAGTGAGGCCCAATTCCCTCAGTGGGTGGGCGGTACCGCCCGCTGAACACAACCTGAGGTGTACAAATCGCTCCAGGCGCTGTGTTGGGTTAACGTGGTTACTGAACCCACAGCAGTCCAATCAGTCTGTAGATGCAATGACGCATGCTTGTTATACTCACTGTGGGACCTAAGGGGTTAATCCTCTGCATTGTGTAAAAAAGGGCAGTTTGATCCTGTCTTCTCTGATCCTCCCCTTCCTATACTGTCCCCAATCCATCTGCTGATAGAACAGAGCTCTAGGAATCAGCTACATCACCAACCTGGTCTCAAAATATCAACCAAACCGCTTTCTTCGCTCCTCCCGAGACCTCCTGCTCTTTAGTTCTGGTGTCATCTCCTCCCATGCTCCCCTCCAGGACTTCTCCCGAGCCTCTCCCATCCTGTGGAACTCCCTACCCCAATCTGTCCAACTGTCTCCTTATCTATCTACCTCTAGACGATCCCTGCAAACTTTTCTCTTTAAAGAAGCCTATCCTGCTTTTAACTAGTAAACTGCCTTTTATTTTCTCCATCAGTTCATCCCCCCCCCCCCCCCCCCACAGCTATTATCTTTTGTATCACTTGACCCCTCCCTCTTAGATTGTAAGCTCTAACGAACAGGGCCCTCTGATTCCTCTTGGACCAAATTGTATTGTAAGTGTACTGTCTGCCTTCATTTTGTAAAGCGCTGCGCAGACTGTTGGCACCATATAAATCCTGTATAATAAAAAAATATAATAATAATAGTAATAATGTGGTGTAATGAAGCATGCTGATAGGAGGAGAGAGCAGAGAGAGACAGACAGGCAGATGAGCTCATCGCTGTACGGTTTCTCTTTTCACTGTCCAGTCACAGGCTGGGGGTGGGTCTAGGATAACCTGGGCTCAGAGGAGATAGGTTGAATCATGCTGAAAGGAGGATAGATCAGAGAGACAGACAGATGAGCTCATTACTGTACTGCTTCTCCTTTCACTGTCCAGTCACAGACTGGGGGTGGGGCTAGGATAACCTGGGCTCAGAGGAGATAGGTTGAAATATTGCTGATAGGAGGAGAGAGCAGAGAGACAGACAGATGAGCTCATCACTGTGCTGCTTCTTTTTTCACTGTCCATTCACAGGCTGGGGGTGGGCCTAGGATAACCTGGGCTGACAAGAGATAGGTTGAAATATTGCTGATAGGAGGAGAGAGCAGAGAGACAGACAGATGAGCTCATCACTGTGCTGCTTCTTTTTTCACTGTCCATTCACAGGCTGGGGGTGGGCCTAGGATAACCTGGGCTGACAAGAGATAGGTTGAAATATTGCTGATAGGAGGAGAGAGCAGAGAGACAGACAGATGAGCTCATCACTGTGCTGCTTCTTTTTTCACTGTCCATTCACAGGCTGGGGGTGGGCCTAGGATAACCTGGGCTGACAAGAGATAGGTTGAAATATTGCTGATAGGAGGAGAGAGCAGAGAGACAGATGAGCTCATCACTGTGCTGCTTCTTTTTTCACTGTCCATTCACAGGCTGGGGGGTGGGCCTAGGATAACCTGGGCTGACAAGAGATAGGTTGAAATATTGCTGATAGGAGGAGAGCAGAGAGAGACAGACAGATGAGCTCATCACTGTGCTGCTTCTTTTTTCACTGTCCATTCACAGGCTGGGGGTGGGCCTAGGATAACCTGGGCTGACAAGAGATAGGTTGAAATATTGCTGATAGGAGGAGAGAGCAGAGAGACAGACAGATGAGCTCATCACTGTGCTGCTTCTTTTTTCACTGTCCATTCACAGGCTGGGGGTGGGCCTAGGATAACCTGGGCTGACAAGAGATAGGTTGAAATATTGCTGATAGGAGGAGAGAGAGCAGAGAGACAGACAGATGAGCTCATCACTGTGCTACTTCTTTTTTCACTTTCCATTCACAGGCTGGGGGTGGGTCTAGGATAACCTGGGCTGACAAGAGATAGGTTGAAATATTGCTGATAGGAGGAGAGAGCAGAGAGACAGACAGATGAGCTCATCACTGTGCTGCTTCTTTTTTCACTGTCCATTCACAGGCTGGGGGTGGGTCTAGGATAACCTGGGCTGACAAGAGATAGGTTGAAATATTGCTGATAGGAGGAGAGAGCAGAGAGACAAACAGATGAGCTCATCACTGTGCTGCTTCTTTTTTCACTGTCCATTCACAGGCTGGGGGTGGGCCTAGGATAACCTGGGCTGACAAGAGATAGGTTGAAATATTGCTGATAGGAGGAGAGAGCAGAGAGACAAACAGATGAGCTCATCACTGTGCTGCTTCTTTTTTCACTGTCCATTCACAGGCTGGGGGTGGGTCTAGGATAACCTGGGCTGACAAGAGATAGGTTGAAATATTGCTGATAGGAGGAGAGAGCAGAGAGACAGATGAGCTCATCACTGTGCTGCTTCTTTTTTCACTGTCCATTCACAGGCTGGGGGTGGGTCTAGGATAACCTGGGCTGACAAGAGATAGGTTGAAATATTGCTGATAGGAGGAGAGAGCAGAGAGACAGATGAGCTCATCACTGTGCTGCTTCTTTTTTCACTGTCCATTCACAGGCTGGGGGTGGGTCTAGGATAACCTGGGCTGACAAGAGATAGGTTGAAATATTGCTGATAGGAGGAGAGAGCAGAGAGACAAACAGATGAGCTCATCACTGTGCTGCTTCTTTTTTCACTGTCCATTCACAGGCTGGGGGTGGGTCTAGGATAACCTGGGCTGACAAGAGATAGGTTGAAATATTGCTGATAGGAGGAGAGAGCAGAGAGCCAGACAGATGAGCTCATCATCTAGCTGCAATGTGGCACCTGGGGGGGGGGGGGCGATATGTTGCCTCCTCACCTCCCCAAAGACCGCACCAGCTTGGCACGACCGCATGCATTGATTTAACCACAAAGCAGATGCAGACGGATTGTGATTGGCTGTCCGGAGTTGGCGCAGATGACACTCAGCTTTATTGACATGGGCATGTGGCGTGTTGCCTGTCAGCGGGGAGATGTCATCCTTGTAATAAACACGTGTCTACAATAACATGGGAAGTAACATGTTACACAATGCCGGGTGATACATCCGCCCCCGACACCGGACCCGTCACAGCTGTGAGGATGTAATATAAACAACATAGAAATCATCGCTGTCATCCTTCTAGATGTCATTCCCATCCATTTCCCTTCTCAGCGCTGCTGATCTCCTGCAGCCTCGTTCAGCTACTTCCTGTCTGTGTGCGCTCGCTCCTTGTCAGCTGCACACCAGTGCTCTGGACAATGGACCGCGTCTGAGCAATGTGTGTCAGCCAATCACAGGAGAGCAAACCAGGGAGACGGGGCGTTGTCACCCTATAAGCACAAAGCACTGCGTGACATTCACAACTGCCATTTCCAACTGCCATTTTCAATACAATTCTGTTATCAACTTTTTTTTTACATTTTTTCGTTGCTGATGTCCTGCAGCCTCTGTGTTCCCCAGCGATGGCTGCGCGGCATTTCTCAGGACGGGTTTCCTGATGGTGACAACAGCAGACCGTGTCTGTGTCATGTGTGCCCAAACGGCCACTTGTAGTCTCCATTAGAAGTCCGTGTGATAAAGTGACAATGTACAACTGGGAGATGGGGACACCCTATAGCAGGAAGTGATGTCGATCTCCTGCAGACTCTTTGCAACTACTTCATGTCTACATACACTCCGGGTCTCATGGTGGATCTCTGCTGGGGACTCTGATGGGGACCCTGATGTAAGGAGGGACTCTGATGGGGACCCTGATATAAGGAGGGACACTGATGGGGACCCTGATGTAAGGGGGACTTTGATGGGGACCCTGATGTAAGGGGGACTCTGATGGGGACCCTGATGTAAGGGAGACTCTGATGGGGACCCTGATGTAAGGAGGGACTCTGATGGGGACCCTGATGTAAGGGGGACTCTGATGGGGACCCTGATGTAAGGAGGGACTCTGATGGGGACCCTGATGTAAGGAGGGACACTGATGGGGACCCTGATGTAAGGAGGGACCCTGATGGGGACCCTGATGTAAGGGGGACTCTGATGGGGACATTGATGTAAGGGGGACTGTGATGGGGACCCTGATGTAAGGAGGGACTCTGATGGGGACCCTGATGTAAAGAGGGACTGTGATGGGGACCCTGATGTAAGGGGGGACTCTGATGGGGACTCTGATGTAAGGAGGGACACTGATGGGGACCCTGATGTAAGGAGGGACACTGATGGCGACCCTGATGTAAGGAGGGACTCTGATGGGGACCCTGATGTAAGGGGGACTCTGATGGGGACCCTGATGTAAGGAGGGACTCTGATGGGGACCCTGATGTAAGGAGGGACACTGATGGGGACCCTGATGTAAGGAGGGACTCTGATGGGGACCCTGATGTAAGGGGGACTCTGATGGGGACATTGATGTAAGGGGGACTGTGATGGGGACCCTGATGTAAGGAGGGACTCTGATGGGGACCCTGATGTAAAGAGGGACTGTGATGGGGACCCTGATGTAAGGAGGAACTCTGATGGGGACCCTGATGTAAGGAGGAACTCTGATGGGGACCCTGATGTAAGGAAGGACTCTGATGGGGACCCTGATGTAAGGGGGGACTCTGATGGGGACCCTGATGTAAGGAGGGACTCTGATGCGGACCCTGATGTAGGGAGGGACTCTGATGGAGACCCTGATGTAAGGAGGAACTCTGATGGGGACCCTGATGTGAGGGGGGACCCTGATGTAAGGAGGAACTCTGATGGGGACCCTGATGTAAGGAGGAACTCTGATGGGGACCCTGATGTAAGGGGGGACTCTGTTGGGGACCTGATGTAAGGGGGGGACTCTGATGGGGACCCTGATGTAAGGGGGGACTCTGATGGGGACCCTGATGTAAGGGGGGACTCTGATGGGGACCCTGATGTAAGGGGGACTTTGATGGGGACCCTGATGTAAGGGGGACTCTGATGGGGACCCTGATGTAAGGGGGGACTCTGATGGGGACCCTGATGTAAGGGGGGACTCTGATGGGGACCCTGATGTAAGGGGGGACTCTGATGGGTTTAGGATTACTCGTAATTTCTTTGCTTTGTTTTACTGAAGTTTTCTTTCTTATATTGCTCTCATTTGATTACAAAAAAACAACTCCAAGTAAAACGTATTCATTCATTTATATTTGATTTGTTAATCGATAAAACTGATATTGTTCTGGGGGGGGAGGGGGGGATATTTGTAAAATGAATGATGTGGCCCTCATACTGGGAAGTCTAGGGACCCCTAACATAAAAGATAGTTAATTCTTCAGGTGAGATGCTGCCATCTAATGGCTGATAATTGGTATTACAAATCATTATATTGTTTGTATGAAAGTAATTCTTAATGTGTAAAGAGAAATTTATTTTTTTTATATAATTTTGCAATTTTATAATTGCTGCTTATTATATGGCTACATTGTGTCATTCATTCATGATTCAGGTATTTTCTGGGTTCTTAGACAAATACAAAACATTTCTTTCTGCGATAGGAAAGCAAACATTAGAATCGGGGGGGATTTGATTTCAATCATGATTTAACCCCTCGCCCTCCTGAGGATTTACCCCCCCCCCCCCCCCTTAGTGACCACGCCTCTTTTTGCTACTCGGCGCTGCACTAATTCAACTGATAATTGCGCGGTCATGCAATGCTGCACCCAAACGAAATTTACGTCCTTTTTTTCACACAAATAGAGCTTTCTTTCGGTGGTATTTGATCACCTGTGCGCTTTTTATTTTTCACGCTATAAACAAAAAAAGGACAAAGATTTTGAAGAAAAACAATATTTTTTATTTTCAACTATAAAAAATATATAGTAAACTCAAAGTTGGTTATAAATTTAGGCCAAAATGTATTCTGCTCCATGTTTTTGGTAAAAATAATCCCAATAAGTGTATATTGATTGCTTTGTGTGAAGTTATAGCGTCTACAAACTATGGTATAGATACTGCAATTTACGCCATTTTTCTGCTATACAGCGCTGCGCTAGTTTAACGGACAATTTGCGTGGTCATGCAATACGGTACATAAATTAAATTTACATCCTTTTTTTCCCCACAAATTGAGCTTTCTTTCGGTGGTATTTGATCGCCTGTGCGGTTTTTTTTATTTTTTGCGCTATAAAAAAAAAGGATGACAATTTTGAGGAAAAAAAAAAACAATATTTTGGACTTTTTGCTATAAAACATGTCCAGTAAAAAAAAAATGCAAAAATGCAAAAAATCAAATTTAGTCATAAATTTCTGCCAAAATGCATTCTGCGACATGTCTTTGCTAAAAAAAAAAACCAAAACGTGTAAATTAATTGGTTTACGTGAAAGTTACAGCGTTTACAAATGGCGGGAAAGATACTGGGATTTTTAGGGAGTTTTTTTATACTGATAATGGCGGCGATCAGCAAATTATGGCGGCGATCAGGGATTTATGGCAGCGACCAGCGACTTATGGCGGGACTGCGGGACTGCGGCAGACATTCTGACATTGGGGGGTACTGACTTGGGGTCACTGACATCCCCAAAAACACTAATACAGTGATCAGTGCAAAAAAAAAAAAAAAACTGACACTGTACTAATGGCACTGGGGAGGAAGGGGTTAACTTTATTATTCAGGGAAGGGTTATAGGAGTGAGGGGGAGTGTTTTACTAGGGGGCGGGGCGGGGGGTGTACTGGGCGGGACAAGGCTGATCGAGAAAGAGAAACTGTTCTTTCTTGATCAGCTCGTCCTCGAGCTGTCAGGGAAGTGACAGACAGTACAGCTACTGCAGCTGTGCTCTCTGTCACTGTTTGCCGCCGATCGCCGAGACATAGCTGCTAAGGAGCGGCTGTGACCCGGCGACTGACATCTGCAGCAGAGAACTGCGGGACAAATAGGGCGGTGGCGCGCCCCCTATTTGTTTACAAAACACACGTCTTAAAACGTGGTTTTGCCTGTGAGTGCCGCCCCTGCTGCCGTATATGTACAGTGACTGGGCGGCATGCGGTTAAATCACGATGTAAATCACTAGTCAGTCAGGCTGGATGTAAATCCTCGTTTTCTACATAAAGACTAATTCTTGCCGGTATAACTTTAATATACAAGTAGATGAAGATTTTTAGAATAACAACTTTTCATATTAGTTTTTTTATCCCCAGTTTAATAGGTTAATCCTTCATATTTGGACAACTTTTCTGTTGTACTTAGAAAGGAGAAAAATATATAAAAATAATCATTATCTTAATAATAACAATTTAAATAGATTTATTCAACTGAAACAATAACATTCCAGCATCTGTTCTTTGCTTAAACATCCATGTTTGGTAACTAATTTGGCTAAACAAAATATATATATTTTAAGAAACAGACTGTCTGCCCCTCGCCCTCACACTGTCAGCCCCTTCCTCCTCACACTGTCAGCCCCTCCCCCTCACACTGTCGGCCCCTCCCTCCTCGCACTGTTGGCCCCTCCCTCCTCGCACTGTCGGCCCCTCCCTTCTCGCACTGTCAGCCCCTTCCTCCTCACACTGTCGGCCCCTTCCTCCTCACACTGTCGACCCCTTCCTCCTCGCACTGTCGGCCCCTTCCTCCTCGCACTGTCGGCCCCTTCCTCCTCGCACTGTCGGGCCCCCCTTCCCCCTCACACTGTCGGCCCCTTCCTCCTCGCACTGTCGGCCCCTTCCCCCTCGCACTGTCGGCCCCTTCCTCCTCGCACTGTCGGCCCCTTCCTCCTCGCACTGTCGGCCCCTCCCTCCTCGCACTGTCGGCCCCTCCCTCCTCACACTGTCGGCTCCTCACACTGTCGGCCCCTCCCTCCTCACACTGTCGGCCCCTCACTCCTTACACTGTCGGCCCCTCCCTCCTCACACTGTCGGCCCCTCCCTCCTCACACTGTCGGCCACTCCCTCCTCACACTGTCAGCCCCTCCCTCCTCGCACTGTCGGCCCCTCCCTTCTCGCACTGTCAGCCCCTTCCTCCTCACACTGTCGGCCCCTTCCTCCTCACACTGTCGACCCCTTCCTCCTCGCACTGTCGGCCCCTTCCTCCTCGCACTGTCGGCCCCTCCCTCCTCGCACTGTCGGCCCCTTCCCCCTCGCACTGTCGGCCCTTCCCCCTCGCACTGTCGGCCCCTTCCTCCTCGCACTGTCGGCCCCTTCCTCCTCGCACTGTCGGCCCCTCCCTCCTCGCACTGTCGGCCCCTCCCTCCTCACACTGTCGGCTCCTCACACTGTCGGCCCCTCCCTCCTCACACTGTCGGCCCCTCACTCCTTACACTGTCGGCCCCTCCCTCCTCACACTGTCGGCCCCTCCCTCCTCACACTGTCGGCCACTCCCTCCTCACACTGTCAGCCCCTCCCTCCTCGCACTGTCAGCCTCTCCCTCCTCACACTGTCGGCCACTCCCTCCTCACACTGTCAGCCCCTCCCTCCTCGCACTGTCGGCCCCTCCCTTCTCGCACTGTCAGCCCCTTCCTCCTCACACTGTCGGCCCCTTCCTCCTCACACTGTCGACCCCTTCCTCCTCGCACTGTCGGCCCCTTCCTCCTCGCACTGTCGGCCCCTCCCTCCTCGCACTGTCGGCCCCTTCCCCCTCGCACTGTCGGCCCCCCTTCCCCCTCGCACTGTCGGCCCCTTCCTCCTCGCACTGTCGGCCCCTTCCTCCTCGCACTGTCGGCCCCTCCCTCCTCGCACTGTCGGCCCCTCCCTCCTCACACTGTCGGCTCCTCACACTGTCGCCCCCTCCCTCCTCACACTGTCGGCCCCTCACTCCTTACACTGTCGGCCCCTCCCTCCTCACACTGTCGGCCCCTCCCTCCTCACACTGTCGGCCACTCCCTCCTCACACTGTCAGCCCCTCCCTCCTCGCACTGTCAGCCTCTCCCTCCTCACACTGTCGGCCCCTCCCTCCTCACACTGTCAGCCCCTCCCTCCTCGCACTGTCAGCCCCTCCTCCTCACACTTAGTTTCACTTTCTTCTTGTGCAGATCTATTCCACTCCAAACAATCAGAAAAATATTGTTTCTATTCTATTCACTGAACTTCTTGCACCTTGGCAGTGAAGGGGCTGATTCTGTATTCATCGGTTTGTAGAAGTTAGGATGAAGGTCTTTTTCTTAGCTCTGTTCATGTTATAACATTTTTGCTGTGAAGAGGCCTGTGATCTCCGCTGAGACAAATTCAGTTTTGAGAACTGCAAAAGTAAACCAATCATCTGTGATAATATCTTGTAGGCAGAGAAACTGTCCAATAATCTTACAGACACCTCTGGAGAGCGACATTGTGAATGGAGTCATGGAATTTATTTACCAAAAAAATTAAACATATACAGCCTTATTCTACATAATTAAAAAACTAATCTTTATTTCATGATGGAATAACCTTTGGATGGTAATATATTTTCCTCAAAAAGCATTTTATTTAAAAAAAAAAATCGATTTAAATAAAAAAAATCAGATTTTTTTGATTTTTTTTTTTAAAAAATCATTGATTTTTATCCACCCTGATTAGAATTCATCACCTTCTATAACACACTGGGATGGAGCGCCTTCATTATCTCACAAATATATTCTTATTCTTATTATAGCCATATTTGCCACGCTAACTCCTATCACAGTTTTTACACTACAAAGACAGTAATATATCAAAACGTGCGGATTGTTCCCGATCGGATTGCTATTA